TAAGAGGTGAGGATCCTCCTAGGCACAGAGAAAATTAAGAATAACATTAGGCGAATCTCCATTCATGGTGGTTTATAGTGAGTTCTCTTTAATTTTATAGTGAATCCCCTCACTTGAGTTACAAGCTCCTTAGCAAGTCTCGGCCGATTTTCTTCCTTCGCGAACAAAAATCCTATCTTCCTCCCCCTCTTTTTCAACTCTAGCTACCCGATTCCCTTCTCTTCTTTAACTCTAGCCACCCTCTTTTCTCTCCTTCTCTTCTTTCACCTTAGCCACCCTCTCTTCCTCTCGTTTTCTCTTCCCATGACGTTTTCTTTGGCTTAGCGACTCCACGTCGCTTTGAACGCATTCACGCTCGCTTGAGCCGAATAAAGTGGAGGCGCCCAAGATCTTTACCAATATTCATTAGAAAGGAGGGCTGCGACAAATAGCGCACGGACTAATTATCATAATGCGCAACGTCAGTTGGATTTGCTGGCAAAAGAATTGTGCGGACAATGATTTTTGCTCCTACACACTGCCAAGCAAGCACGGTTTGTCACCGAAATTCTGAACGAGCATCTGCGGAACCATGGCATCTTGCAAGGGGTGAGATACTCCTCGGCACAGAGGAAACCGAAAATAACATGAGACGAATCTTCACTCAGGACGGTTTACAGTGAATTCTTTATTCTTTAATTTTACAGTAAATCCCCTCACTTGAATTACATTCTCTTCGACAAGTCTGGGTCGATTTTCTTCCTTCGCAAACAAAAACCCTATCTTCCTACCCTTCAACCCTAGCCACCCTCTCTTCCCCCTTCTCTTCTTCCACCATAGCCACCCTCTTTTCCTCTCATTTTCTCTTTCCATGGCGTCTTCTCTGACACAGCGGCACCACGTCGCTTTGACCGCATTCACGCTCTTTTGAGCCGAATATAATGGAGGCGCTCAAGATCATTGCCAATCTCCATTAGAAAGGAGGGCTGCGACAAATAGCGCGCGAACTAATTATTGTAATACGCAACGTGGGTTGGATTTGCTGGCGGAAGATTTGGGCGGACGACGATTTTTACTCATACACACTGCCAAGCAAAAGCAATTTGTCACCGAAATTCTGGACGTGTATATGGTGAACCCTGCCATATTGCAAGGGGTGAGGATCCACCTCGACACAGAAAAAACCAAGAATAACATCAGACAAATCTTCATTCAGGGCGGTTTACAGTAAGTTCTCTTTCATTTTACAATGAGTCCCCTCACTTGAGTTACAAGTTCCTCGACAAGTCTGGCCAATTTTTTTCCTTCGCGAACAAAAACCCTCTCTTCCTTCCCTTCTTCAACCATAGCCACCTAATCCCCTTCTCTTCTTCAATCCTAACCACCCTCTCTTCTCCCATTCTCTTCTTCAACCTTAGCCATCCACTCTTCCTCTCGTTTTCTCTTCCCATGGCGTCTTCTCTGACTCAACGACTCCACGTCGCTTTAACCATATTCACGCTCACCCAAGCTGAATATAGTGAAGGCGCCCAAAATCCTCACCAATTTCCATTAGAAAGGAAAGGCTGTGACAAATATTGCGCGGACTAGTTATTGTAATGCGCAATGTGAGTTGGATTTGCTGGCGGAAGAATTGCATGGACGATGATTTTTGCTCATACACACTGCCGAGCATTCGCAGTTTGTCACCCAAATTATGAACGAGCATCCGAAAAATCCTGGCATCTTGCAAAGGCTGAGGGTTGCGAAGGGGAAAACGCGCATCTTCCTCCCATTCTCTTCTTCAACCCTAGCTACCTGATCTCCTTCTCTTCAACCTTAGCCGCCCTCTCTTCCCCCCTTTTGTTCTTCAAACCTAGCCACGCTGAGGGGGGAAGAGAGGGTGGCTAGGGTTGAAGAAAAGAAGGAGATCAAGTGACTAGGGTTGAAGAAGAGAAGGAGATCAGGTGGCTTGGATTGAAGAGAACGGGAAGAAGATAGGGTTTTTGTTCGCGAAAAAAGAAAATCAGCTAAGACTTGCCGAGGAGCTTGTACCTCAAGTGAGGGTTTGTAAATTTAAAGAGAACTCATTGTAAACCGCCCTGAATGAAGATTCGCCTAATGTTATTCTTGGTTTCTTTTGTGCCGAGGAGGATCCTCACCCCTTGAAATATGTCAGGTTCCCCAAATGCTCGTCCAGAATTTAGGTGATAGGCCGCGCTTGCTCGGCAGTGTGTATGAGCAATAATCACCATTCACGCAATTCTTCCGTCAGCAAATCCAACTCACGTTGCGCATTACGATAATTAGTCCGCGCACTATTTGTTGCATCCCTCCTTTCTAATGGAGATTGATAATGATCTTGGGCGCCTTCACTATATTTGGCTTGAGCAAGCATGAATGCAGTCAAAACGATGTAGAGTCGCGAGCCAGAGAAGACGTCATGGGAAAAGAAAACGAGAGGAAGAGAAGGTAGCTAGAGTTGAAGAAGAGAAGTGGGGGGAGAGAGAGTGGCTAGAGTTGGAGAAGGGAAGGGGATCAGGTGGCTAGGGTTGAAGAAGAGAGGGTTTATGTTTGCGAAGGAAAAAAACCGACCGAGACTTGCTGAGGAGCTTGTAACTCAAGTGATTGGAGGGGACCCACTGTAAAATTAAAGAGAACTCACTATAAACAGCCATAAATAAAGATTTGCCTCATCTTATTCTCGGTTTCCTCTGTGCCGAGGAGGATCTGCACCTTTTGCAAGATGCCAGAGTTCACCAAATACTCGTCTAGAATTTCAGTTACAGACCGCGCTTGCTTGGCAGTGTATAGGAGCAAAAATCATCGTCCGTGCAATTCTTCCAACTCACGTTGCGCATTACGATAATTAGTCCGCGCTATATGTCGTAGCCCTCCTTTCTAATGGCGATTGGTGGTGATCTTGGGCGCCTCTACTATATTCGGCTCGAGCGAGCGTGAATGTGGTTAGAGCGACATGGAGTTGCTGAGCCAGAGCAAACACCTTGGGAAGAGAAAAAGAGAGGAAGAAAAGGTGGCTAGAGCTGAAGAAGAAAAAGGAGAAAGAGATGGTGGCTAGGGTTGAAGAAGAAAAGAAGATAAAATGACTAAGGTTGAAGAAGAGAAGGGGTGGAAGAGAGGGTTTTTGTTCGCGAAAGAAAAAAACCGATCAAGACTTGCCGAGAAGCTTGTAACTCAAGTGAGGGGACCCACTGAAAATTAAAGAGAACTTACTGTAAACCGCCCTGAATGAAGATTCGCCTAATGTTATTCTCGGTTTCCTCTGTGCCGAGGAGGATCCTCACTCGTTACAAGATGCTAGAGTTCCCCATATGCTCGTCCAGAATTTAGGTGACAGGCTGCGCTTGCTTGGTAGTGTGTATGAGCAATAATCACCGTCCACGCAATTCTTTCGTCAGCAAATCTAACTCACGTTGTGCATTACGATAATTAATCCGTGCTATTTGTCGCAACCCTCCTTTCTAATGGAGATTGATAGTGATTTTGGGTGCCTTCACTATATTCGGCTTGAACGAGCGTGAATATAGTCAAAGCAACGTGAAGTCGCGAAGCTAGAGAAGACGTCATGAGAAGAGAAACGAGAGGAAGAGAAGGTGGCAAGAGTTGAAGAAGAGAAATTGGGGAAGAGAGGGTGACTAGAGTTGGAGAAGGGAAGGGGATCAGGTGGTTAGGGTTGAAGAAGAAAATCAACTAAGACTTGCCGAGAAGCTTGTAACTCAAGTGAGGGAACCCACCGTAAAATTAAAGAAAACTCACTGTAAACCGCCCTGAATAAAGATTCGCCTCAAGTTATTCTTGATTTCCTCTGTGCCGAGGAGGACTTACTTACAAGATGCCAGAGTTCATCATATGCTTGTCCAGAATTTCGATTATAAACAACGCTTGCTCGGCAGTGTGTAGGAGCAAAAATCGTCATCCACGCAATTCTTCCGTCGGCAAATCCAACTCATGTTGCGCATTACGATAATTAGTCTGCGCTATTTGTCGCAACCCTCCTTTCTAATGGCGATTAGTGGTAATCTTGGGCGCCTCCATTATATTCGGCTTGGGCAAGCGTGAATGCAGTTAGAGCGATGTGGAGTCGCAGAGCCAAAGCAAACGCCTTGAGAAGAGAAAAGGAAATGAAGAGAGAGTGGCTAGGGCTGAAGAAGAGAAAGGGGGAAGAGAGGGTGGCTAGAGCTGAAGAAGAAAAGGGGATCGAGTGGCTAGGGTTGAAGAAGAGAACGGGAGGAAGAGAGGGTTTTTGTTCGTGAAAGAAGAAAACTGATCAAGACTAGCTGAGGAGCTTGTAACTCAAGTGAGGAGATTCACTGTAAAATTAAAGAGAACTCACTGTAAACCGCCATGAATGAAGATTCACCTAATGTTCTTCTCGGTTTCCTCTATTCCGAGGAGGATCATAACCCCTTGCAAAATGCCAGGGTTCACCAGATGCTCATCCAGAATTTCGGTGATAAACCACACTTGCTCGGTAGTGTGTACGAACAAAAATCCTCATCTGCACAATTCTTTCGCCAACAAATCCAACTCACGTTGCACATTATTATAATTAGTCCACGCGTTATTTGTCACAGCTCTCCTTTCTAATGGAAATTGGTGGTGTTCTTGGGCGACTCCATTATAGTCTGCTCGGGCGAGCATGAATGCAGTCAAAGCGAGGTAGAGTCGCAGAGCCAGAGAAGACGCCATGGGAAGAGAAAACAGGAGGAAGAGAGGATGGTTAGGGTCGAAGAAGAAAATGGGAGGAAGAGTGGGTAGCTAAGGTTAAAGAAGAAAACGGGAGGAAAAGAGGAACTTAAATAAAAATTCAAAATCTTTAAGTTAGTTTTTTTTTTGGTCAGAACTCTTTAAGTTAGTTTAAGCTATGAAATTTAAACACAGAACTCTCATAAATATATGCAATACTTAAAGTTTAAACTTTGACCTCTTTCAGAATCATCCTGGCTAGATCCACTAAGAGAATCGGAATCATCATACTCGCTTTCTTCACTATCACTTTTACCTTCTTCTTCTCTTCTCTGTCTGTTCACAGTAGCGTCAAACTTGTTCTTGCCAAAAGATGGTGTCAGAAGCAAATTCTTCTTGACTGAAACCTTCTGCCAACATGGGGTCAATTATGATGCTTCATTATTAAAAGCAAAACTCTTTCAGTATTTCACATTTATGAGATATCTAAGTCTGCTTATCAAATGGATGAGGTCAGATACCGCACGGGGTAAAAACTTTCTGGCCCATGAACTATGTGACAACCACATCAATGAATGAATAAGAGCAAATAACAATTAAGACATAATTAACCATCGTATTAGCAAGAACCTTCCATAATATGAGAGTTTTTACCAAGCAACAGAACAAGTACAAAAGGGAACAAACAAATCTTAGAATATGCCCTTAAACATTCTATAGGAAGTTGAATTTATCCGCCCCAAGTTCCTAGGATTCAAAACATTATACATACTTTAGAAATTTAACCGTTGTTTATACAAAGGCGACAGTTACGATACAAGACAAGAAGTATATATCATAACATTTTCCATATTTATCTCTAAAAAGAGAATCAGATTATTACTATAGCCACACAGCACGATAGACATAAGCTGCTAAGTTCATGGGGTTTCTGAAAGAAATTAAAGTAAACATGATGTTTTCCAATACCAGCTGTGGAAATATAGAAATGTGGTGTGTCATTTGATTGTCTCCTTTTCTGAGGAAGGAGCTATCCCTATACAGGGCTTGACTAAATTAGGATTGCTGAGCTGGACATGCAGCACATTTTCATACATCAAAACAAACCATTTATGCTGATGCTGATCTACATGTTCTGTTCCTTAAGTACTTAAAGCCTTTCCAAACCAGAGTTGATGTTGGACATAATATCATGAAAATAAACAAAAAATTTCTTCATGTTGGACAAACCTAGCTTGCTGAGGCTTTTGGAATATAATGAAAGGCGTTCTGGTCTGGGAGGGAGCTTTTCAGAATCTGCTTCTGCATTACTTAATGATATGCAGTTTTGCAGCGGAACATTCCATGATGGTTTTGATTCATCAGTTGTCTCACATAGATTCAGGAGCTTCTCCTCCACATTACGTTGAAGACATGACTGGTCATTCTGTTTAATCCAAATTGCATTTTGAACTTTCTTTGCAATGAGTTTCCAGCACATTGCTCCAGTCAAATTGACCAACTTATCCCGGATCATTGGGAATTCTTTATCCTTTATATAAGCAGGAGGAGCAGAGTAGACGAAATATCCATTAGGATGCAGAAGGCGATTTACTTCTTTGAGTAGAATACCATCTGCAAAAGAATGAGATGAAGGGCGAAAAAGCATTAGTAAAAGCACCCACATGAAGTAATGTCCAGCCTTGAAAGTACTATTTGTTAATCTTTAGTTACCACCCTATGTAGTCACAGGCTCATCTATCATCAAGGATTTGATGCAATGACAGCATGATTTCTTTGTCTTGGAAAGGTAATCATCAGAAGAACGTAGTTCTCTTTTGCTCACTTGCTCCGTAAAAATGAAAACGGAATCACTAATCAATCTCTGATCTACATGCGCTAAAGGCAAAGCCAAGCCACCAAACCGCTTTTTTATCACTTGACTGACAAGATGTTGGCAGAACTAGCACATGCTCAAGGTGAATGTTTACCTAAATACCTATATCTCCAGTCCTACAACTGCACAAAAAATTAAAACCCTGGCATTCAACGAGATGAGGTAATGCCATATTAAGTTTTGAGCTTTGACCAGAAAAACAGTCAGCATGTCTGCGGCTAAAATACAAGTCGTTGACCATAGGAGATAGTCATTAAAATAGTTCATCTAATTTGATACAGCTAAAGTTCATCATTTTAGGTTCCCGTCAGTCATTTTATCTTCCTTCCAAAATTTTGGACCAGATTCAGAAAGCTGTCCTAAGGAATCTGCCACCTGCTTATTTTAACTCGTCTTCACTTTGCCAGTTGAATTTCTGACGAATCATTCTAAACCTATTGTCCAAATTAGAATAGAACTCTACTGCCAAATACCGCTTCCTTTTTATTCACTGTTAAGTATGCTCTTCAAAGTTCAAACTAGATCAGCAGTTGGTAAATATAAACAGTGGGGGTAAGGCATGGTTATTAGTTCGAGAAAGAAATACACACATGTGACAATGACTAAAATGGCAGAGATGTTCCCTTATGTAGCTATCATTTACGAAACATGCTTAGGATGATAGAATATCATTCTCATGCCAATCAACACGGCACCTTGAACAATGAACCATCTCAAACGAACTGGAAAGTTACCTGCACCATTTTAGCCAAAGCATCGATGTCGTGGAGCTGAGGCGTAGCCCATCGAACTAAGGATTGTTCAGATCTTCCCCTCGAGCAGAAATTTCAACATTCTAACTGTGAGATATGGGACCCTTTTTCTCCTCACAGCATTCTTTGAGCTGACGATGTAACACTAAGAGTTTAATTTCGAGTGCAAAGAAGAGAGCTTTACAAGTCTCTAAAGTGAATCTCACCGATCAAATGATTGACGTCCAGTGAGGAGTTCCAACACGACTACTCCAAAACCATAGACATCACTCTTTAGACTATATCAACTTAAACATCAATCATAAAGCTGGTAAGGAAATTAACCAACAAAAAAATTAAGGGAAAGTAAGCAAGTGGCACACCTTCCCATCATCAAATTGAGCCCAATAAACACGTCCAAAGGACCCCTCACCAAGAAGGTTATCAACACTGAAGCTACCTGTAGCCATCTGCAAGTCTGCTATTGAATATGAAGTTAAGTTCGTAGGAACTTTAATAGCTTTTTTGACAGGAATAGGCTTCTTTGCAAAATCCTCATCATCGAATGACGTGACGATCAATGGGCGGCGGCTTGAGATTTATTGAGGCTGGTGGTGGCGGATCGAATTTTGTGTTCATCATGGAGGTTGTCTGAAAGGACTTCATTTCTGAGAAATATGCAGACACAAAAGTACAAAGAGAACAAGCTAAGTATTTGGAAAACATTTTCTATTCATCATATGATACTGAAGAAAATCAATACACAGTAGGGACAACAATTATCTAATCAAAGGCAGTTAGAAAGATACAGTAAATAGACTGGTTGCTCCTTCAAAGAAACCCAGACATCGACTTTGGCTAAATTCACTAAATAACAATGATCACTACTGGTTATTCAGACAGCGTCAAACGTACAGTTTATATGGATTCTTCCCAGTTTTATAAATGAAAACAAGGGCAGGTGACATGGTGTCGAAGCTTGATAATGTTCACAAGCAGGTAAAAAATCGGGAGGATGAGTTGCGCTTGCAATGGGCTGCGAACCACTTTAAGGGGAAATCTATTTAGCTGATACTACTTATAAAACTATGGAATGCTCGTGTTTACCAAGTTTGGAAGGCTGGGCATCATTATGTGCATAAGAAGACAATGCCAGAACAAGATACCATCTTCAAGTCCATCGTTGTTGATGTTAGTAACAAAGAAAAATTTATGTAAAGTGAGAAATAGGAAGCCTCTATAATTTCATTTGTGAAGTGAGAAATAATGCTCAATTATCTATAAGAAAAAAAAAACCACTAGCCTCGTTTACTTCTCTTGCAGTTAACTCGGCTACTCGATCTCACAACGAGATCATCAGCCTTTTCTGCTAGAGTTATAGTAGACACAAGGAGAGAGACAAATGAGTGGTAATCCTCATTAGGTAGTGTACAAGTAGAGTTGGGTGCAGATAAATCACCTTGCACTTCACTGGAAGCAAGGGGAGCAAAGGGTTGATTATCAAGCTTTTCCTCATCTGAGGCCAGCCGTCTTTGACATCTTCTCTTCACAACAAAGAATGCCACAACTGCCACAACAAGAAGAATTGATATGACTATTCCAGCTACGCCGCTGCCGCCTATTCCCGATTTCTTGCTTCCACTGCCAGAATCACCATTTGATGGGCTATTTCCAGAGCCAGAGTTCTTATTGTGGTTCGGTTTGCTAGCTGGAGGTGTACCAGGTGGAGGTGGGGGTGCAGGGCCTGAGCTCCAAGAGTTACCATCTTTCCTGTCAAGAAGATACAGGCCCATAATGCAAAGAAGTTGCCATTTGAGAGAAAAATACTGAATTGACTTAAAGTTAGATGCTCACTGGAGATTAAATCGAGCTACTTAAAGTCTATATTGAGTCGTTAGTATAGGAGTTACTGTCCTCTCGTTTCTTAAACTGTGATCCAAGAAGAAACACTTCTTACAATGCTAATCAAATGTGCTTAATCTTTCTTTTTTTTTCCTTTTAGCTCTTCACAGGGATCAACCCTGTGAACTATAATTACCAAACACCCCCCACCCAAACAGAACATTGACGGGGATCAATGATGGGTTGAGAATTTAGATTTGCTTTATGCCAGCTTCCTAGCATTCTCCTTCATAAGCAAGGTGTCAATGATGTACACAGTGTAATCTTCTCTTCAACTGAAAAGGGGCAAGTCAAGTGCCACTATCACATGTGGTGTGCATTTGAATCAACATCAATGGAAATGAAGGCAGTGAAAAAGAAAAAAAACTATAGTGACTTACATGTGCTCCCTAATGACCTCATGCTGTCGTCCATCCAGTCCCCACACACGACATGAGCAATCCTCGCCAGCAGTAACAATCAACTAAGTGAAATCACAAGAAACAGAAGTTAGTCACAGCATCGAAAAGACGGCATTAAGAATTAAGCGGACTTGATTCCAAGTTGCTGGACAGAAACTTTAAAAAGATGGTCATAACATCAAGTGAGCACTCTCTGTACTTGAATATGTAACAAACTACATGAAATGCCTTTGATGGTAACATTTGAACTAATCTATAGCAAATACCAAATCTCTAGTACCAATTGCTTGATCTTTGATCTTACAATGCGGTTTCTATTGTGCCTATTTTTATACTTCAATGCAACTTCAAGGCTTCTTTCGTAAGAATCAGCTTGACGACTTATGTATTTAGGAAAGAAAGACACCTTCCAAAACGCTAGTGAAAAGAAATACAATCTGAGAGACAACTTCTGAGACACTAGCAAAAAGAAATACAATAGCTGTTTAGTTTACATTACTGGCCATGATTAAATCTTTATATTATTAAATCTCCAAGAATGAAGGTTCATTTCATTAAGCATAAAAGAGCCTTCCGTTTGCATTTGAGGAATCCAATATGGCTCATGTTGCACCAACTTGCATGTACACCATCGCAGCAACTAAAAGTCCAAAGCAACTTCTTTTTAGCTCTCGTCCAAGTAGCATGCCACAAGCAAATAACAACAGGAACATCAATGTCACTCAACTCAAAAGAACACTTACACAGCTTAAAATAGATAATTGGCAATGTCGAAATATTTCTGTTCCTTTGCCTTCTCAGCAGTCTTTTATCACTCTGTTAACGAACCTTACATTATCAGATATATAGCAATCCCAAACTCGAGCACTGTGGCCAAAAAGCAATCCAACCTCCCCTGCATCTTTAGAATATCGCGACTTGCAATGAACTTCCCAAATACGTGCACTGCATGCATAAGAAAACTGAATCGGCAAATTTTCCACCATCAAAGCAATTTGGAAAAACCACACTGGAGCTGCAGGATTAAAAAATCAACCTACGATCATCAGATACAGAGACCAGTTTGGAGCCATCAGAGGACCGTGCGATTCGAAATATTGAACCTTCATGACCAACAAGTCTACAGATGTGAAAAGCTTCATAGGGAAGACATTCATGGAGGAGACTGTTGCCAGCATGAGAGTTTATGAGGCCTTCTCCTGTGGGCTCAATCGAAGATGGAGCGTCATGACGGGGAACCACTTTCCAGATCAAAATCTATGCAATTCATTCAGAACATTCTTCTCATTCAGAACATTCTTCACGAAGCTAACACCCTTTAAAGGAATACTCAATGCTAACACAATTCAAAATGCCTTTCAAACAGGGCATTTTGAACAGCATCCACAGTCTGCACACGGGAAAAAAACGCTGAATCAGTTCAAATCTGTACCTCTCGATGCTAGGGCGGAGCGGGGGGTGGTGCAGCTTCGTCGGACGCCGATGACAACTGCCAGGTGTCGAGGCGGACATGGAGGCGTCGACTAGGGCTAGGGCGACGGCGTCGGCTAGGCCTAGGGCGGCGGCTAGGGCGTAGGGCTTCGTCGTCGACGTCGGCGTCAGCTAGGGCTAGGGCCGTGGGCCTTCGTCGTCGGCGTCGAGGCGGCGTCGGAGGCGTCGCGTCGGAGGGACCGCGAGTTCTCAGAGTGCAGGAAGGCCTCGGCGTCGGAGGCGTCGCGTCTGGGAGGAGAGAGAGACTCTACGCGCGAGCGCGTACAGTCGAGGCGTCGGCGTCGGCGTCGGAGTCGGCGCCGGCGTCGGAGGCGGTGTCGGAGGGTCGGAGGGAGCGCAAGCTCTGAGAGAAGATCCGGGAGGAGAGAGAGAGGTTTTGGGGGGGGGGCGAGCGGAGAAATATTATCCGGGAGGAGAGAGACAGGTTGGGAGCGCGCGAGGGCTTCATTTTGAATATTGGGGGTGTCTGACCGGGTGGGGCCCCTCGCCAGGTGTCGCACGCTGAAAGCTCTTTTTTTGCCACGGTGGAATCAGAGTGGTACCTAATATTTTGTCGTGAATTCACTGGAAATGGCGGAGCTGAGCAGGAAACGAGTTCCTCTTTGGGCGTTTTGGACGCACGTGCGAAGCGCGTGGCGGTTTCCTTTTCTCGGATGAAATTCACGCCTTGCTAATTTTCATGTTGTGTCCGAATGGCGCTTACGTCCCGTCCTAGAAATTGTGATCTTTGTACTTTGAGATAATGACACAAACAGACTATAAACTTTAGTTCAATATGTAATTTGATTCCTAAGCTTTTAATTTTTTCAATATAGTTTTTGAACTTTAGCCAAATATTTAATATGGTCTATGAACTTTTAATTTGTTCATTGTGGTATTTGAACTTTTGAAACATGTTCAATATAATTCCTGAATTATATGAAAATATTTAATATAATCCCTGAACTTAAATTAATGGAATGACTACATTGGACATTTTTATATAGTTCAGGGACTAAATTGAATATGTACCAAATGTTCAGAGATCATATTGAACAAATTAAAAGTTTAGGGACCACATTGCACATTGGATTAAACTTCGGAGACTATATTGAATAGATTAAAAGTTTAGGGACTATATTACACTTTGGATCAAAGTTCAATGATTGTTTATGTCATTTTCCTTAGTGCTTTACAAACCTAGAAAATGTCACTCCTCGAAATTTTTGTGTCTTATTTGACGTAATCGATTCAATCAAATCGTGTGTAAATGAATGGCGGTGCATAAATCAGCACTACAATAATTTGATGATACCTGCACTCTCAACTTCTTTCTGCTCCCTCTACCTTTTCTAATTAAAAAAGATGAATTTTATAACAAATAGTGAGAGGGGGAAATAAAGGAGGTGGATTATGTCCTTGAACGATGCAGTTTATTCCGAATGTTTTGGGCGTGGCACGAGAAAATAAATTCTAATAACGAGGTATGATTTTTGCCGTTCCCGTATAGTGTCTGATGATTACGAGAAATGTCTATTTGTTTGAGCGTTATACTCCTACCTTATTTTAATGTAACTATTCTGCAAATTATCAATTACAATTTTCTCGTATTGCCACCGACACGCTTTTCCACTAAACAAATGGCATTATAGCCACGTTTCCCATACTCGGTAAGACGGTGCCTGTACAGTAGAGGGATCCTAGGAGAGAAGCAAGCTAAACGAGAGAGAATACCAAAACAAAAAGAGGTGTGCTTTGGAAATGGAGTCTTCCTAGCATTCATTATTGGAAAGGGTAATTTAAATTTTATGGTATGGTGTGTGTTTTCGGCCATTTTGGGTGTGGATTTAGCTTCCTTGTTCTAATTATCTATGTGACGGATTTGAGTGATATGAGCTTCAATTTTCCTTCTAGGAGTACAGAAGCCAAACCATAGTCTTCCAATTCGCCACCATCGATCTCACTGACAATCCTCCCAATTTTGATTTCGACTCGCCGCCCACTTCTCAATCATCGACGGTTTGCCTGTCACGTGTTTCCTGGTTGTAGTTTCAAGAAACCCATAACATCCCTAGGTTGTTGTTAGGGCTTCGCTGCGCTTGACAATTCAGGCTTTCGAATCTGGTTGTTCATGTTGTAGGCCAAATGAATCTCTCTAGTTTCCTGGTTTTGATTTGGAGTTCCGGAAAGGACGCCTTTAAAAGTTTGCTTTTGGTGAGCTAAAGGTAGCTACCAACCACTTCAGGACACAAAGATTGGGGGCAGAGGCGGGCTTGTTATACTGAAGGTGGTTGCTCATGCTTCCTCAGTATTCTCCTTTCCCTTTAATTTTTTTAAAGGGTTATTGTAATTTTAAACTGAAAATGAGAAACTCTTGCAGATACAAAAGCTTGGCTTCCCTTGGGAATTTTACATGTATCGGCAACTTGACATGTGTGTGCTGCTTTATGCAGGCTTTCTTCCTTGTAACTGTTATTTGATACTCCCTACAAGATAACTTTCAAGAAATTTTTGTATTTCAGGGGCATGCCTTTGGTTTTGCCCATAGAATGCACGTCTACTCAGACCGTAGCATACTCATTTGTGATTATTTAACCCATGGGACACTCCAGGTAGGCATATGACTTCCCTAGTCGTGGTTTGCTCAAGTCATGACTTTTCCAAAATATCCCTTGAATATTGCACGCAGAATGCCGTGTAACTCCTGTTTGGTGATTGGCAAGACCATGGAAGAAGTGCTATGCATTTATCACACTATAGAGATGCTCCTCTTGTTAGAGACTTTGCATGTTGTTGGCATCACTCGTGGAGATTTCAAGGCTGATAATCTACTCATTCGATATGCAAGGTGAAACTAGCTTATACACTTGAATGAATGGTGTCATTGTACACCATCCAATTCATTAGTCGATATTGGTTTTCCAATACGTAGATTGGTTATAGAACATATTACTTGTTTCCCTGTCCATGTATCTCAACCTTTCGTTCATCTCATTGTATGTCGTTTTTAGCTTATTGCTTTTAATAATTGTTCAACACGTTTCTGTATGGACTTGCCTAGATTTTAAATTGGAAAAATTTTGAGTAATCCTTTTGACCAAGAAACTCTTGGATACCACAGGACAGCTATACTTATTTCCTCATCCAGATTTGACATGATATAACCAGGAACTAGAGACTCTTGACGCCATCAATGTGGATAAGCTTAGTTCATTTGGATAATTGGTAACATAAGTTGAATCACTTTCTTGATAGGGATAATCTTTCAATAGAAGGATTCGAGGATCATAGCGGTCCATGGAGTGCTCAGGTCAGTTCAATTTGCTCAAAGCCTATAGTGGTTTTACTTGGAAGTTGGAATTCTCTAGGTTTATGCAAAACATCAAGCAGGGTCTTCGTCTTGTGGACTGAGGAAGGGGAATGGATTTGCATCTTTTTCCCGAAAATACCATATTCGAAGGAGATTGCCGGACTTCTGGCTTTCGTCGCGTCGAGATGCAAGAGGATAAGCCATGGAGGTATCGGGTATTAAATTTATTTTGAATCATCACCACTCGCCACAGTATTATGTTTATTTTGTTTTAACTTACTGCTGCTTCCGTTTTAAGCTGTTACAGGCCCGGCCTAAAGAGGATCCGAGTCCCAATTACCCTCTCTTCCTCCCCTTCTTTTCTTCAACTTTAGCCACCCTCTCTTCGTCTCGTTTTCTCTTCCCATGGCGTCTTCTTTGGCTCAGCGACTCCACGTCGCTTTGACCGCATATACGCTCGCTCGAGCCGAATATAGTAGAGGTGGCCAAGATCACCACCAATCTCCATTAGAAAGGAGGGCTGCGACAAATACCGCACGGACTAATTATCGTAATGCGCAACATGAGTTGGATTTGCTGGTGGAAGAACTGTGTGGACGACGATTTTTGCTCATACACACTGCCGACCAAGCACGATTTGTCACCGAAATTCTGGACGAGCATCTGGGAAACCCTGGCATCTTGCAAGGGGTGAGGATCTTCCTCGGCACAAAGGAAACCGAGAATAACATCAGGCGAATATTCATTCAGGGCGGTTTATAGTGAGTTTTCTATTTAATTTTATACTTTTTTTTTTACTTTGGGTATGTTTACGTAAGTAATTTTATTTATCATCTACAGTGAATATTACTTTTTGGATGATATTGAAGATGTAAATCACGCTAATGATGTGGTGGTGATAGTGGCGGTGGTGGTGGTGGTAATGATGTGAATGGTGGTGATGGTGATGGTACTAATGGGGCGGCTGGGGCTGTGGCTGTGGCTCCTGGAAATGCTAGGGCGGGGAATGCTAATGGGCAGGGGCAGAGGCAGGGGCAGGGGCAGGGGCATGGGGTGGGGCTGAGGCTGAGGCTAGGGCTATTGGAAATGTTAATGCTAATGGGGTGAATCCGGGGCGTGCAAATGGGGCAATAAATCAAGGGAATGCTAATGGGGTTAGGGCTCAGGGGAATGTTAATGGGGTGTGAATCAGGAGAATATTAATAAGGCTATGGCTCAGGGGAATGCTAATGGGGTTGTGAATTAGGGGAATGCTAATAGGGCTGGGGCTTAGGGGAATGCTAATGGGCCTGGGGCTTAAGGGAATGCTAATGGAGCTAGGGGTTAGGGGAATGCTAATGTGGTTGTAAATTAGGGGAATGCTAATAGGGTTGGGGCTTAGGGGAATGCTAATAGGGCTAGGGCTAGGGCTTAGGGGAATGCTAATGGGGTTAGGGATTAGGGGAATGCTAATGGGGTTGTGAATTAGGGGAATGCTAATAGGGCTGGGGCTTAGGGGAATGCTAATGGGGCTAGGGGTTAGGGGAATGCTAATGGGGTTGTAAATTAGGGGAATGCTAATAGGGTTGGAGCTTAGGGGAATGCTAATGGGGCTACTGCTAATGTGATGAATTAGGTTGCTGCTGATGCAGGGAATCGCGTGAATGATCCAGAGGCTGTTGAGCTTGTTAAGGTTGAGGACGAGGATGGAGAGAACGAGGATTTTGATGTTGCTGCTGTTGAGGTTGAGAATGAGGATGGTGAGAACGAGGATGGTGAGAGCGAGACTCTTGAGAACGAGGATGTTGGGCCTGGTGAGGCTGCTGGGCTAGGTGGGGGCCGCCTGCAGTCTGTGGTTGTGGCAATCCACCATGCTGCTCTACCCTAGATGTAATAGATAGATATAATGTTAACAAATAGAATAACCAGATTATAGTTTACTTTTTTGAGTAGGCTTCGAATTTTGTGCGGGATTGATTAGCACATTTGAGGAAACATAGTGTAGAACCATGGGTGATGATGTTAGAAGATCTGCTTTTATCGCTTGCTTGAAGTTGGAAACTATGTAATCTTCAATGGCACAATTAAGACTTTTCCTTCGTTAAGTGATAGCGGGTGATGTAACATTCAGAAATTTTATAATAATATGTATGTGATATTGGAAATTTTCCATGTTCAATAATGATACTTAGATTATAAAGCTAAGTATTATTTATCGTAGAATTTAGGTGGACCCGTAGAAATCTTTGTTGGACCGTAAATTTGTGAGGCGTGGATTCGGGAAAGTAATTTTTCCGAGTTCGACGTGTTTAAAATTTATAAATGTTGGTGTGTACGTTAATAGTAGAGTGATGTTAATTAATTTACCAGTCGCCTTAATTATTGATGGTAATATTATTAGTTAAATTCCAGTTATTTAGTGTTAATAATTTATTTTGTGCTAATGGGTGATAAAGGAAGAGGACTTTCTGTTTTTAATATAAAATCTCACTAAACTTCCTCTTAAGACATCAAGACTCACGTGGCAATTGAGGGATTAGTGCATGACCACATGTCACATTTGAAGACTAAAAGCATGGCCACATGCCACCTTGGAGAATTCAAGCATGTGACATGCCCTTCTTAAGCTAAGCTTCTTACACTAACAAGACACATAGCCATAAGCCATCATTACCTTGGCCATTAGTCATCTCTAACAAGTCTTAATTTCTTACACTTGGCCGTAGATTGAGAGAGGAAATGCCACTTATGAGTGCATGCAATTATTCACTTAAAATCTACTCCTATGTTTCACTTTTCATCTTAGTAATATGGAAGATGGTTTTTCATCTTAGCCGTAACTCTCTCTTTTACCTTAAAACTCCCAAAACACTTTACTTTCAACAATACATGCTCGGCTAGGTAGGGGCCGTCTGCAGTCTGTGGTAATGCGCAACGTGAGTTAGATTTGCTAGTGGGAGAACTGCGTGGACAACGATTTTTGCTCATACACACTGCCGAGTAAGTGCGGTTTGTCACCGAAATTGTAGACGAGCATCTGGGGGACCCTGGCATCTTGTAAAGGGTGAGGATCCTCCTCAGCACAGAAGAAACCGAGAATAACATCAGGCGAATCTTCATTCAGGACGGTTTACAGTGAATTCTCTCTTTAATTTTGTACTTTTTTTTTGGACTTTGGGTATGTTTACGTAAGTAATTTTATTTATCATGTACAGTGAATATTACTTTTTGGATGATCTTGAAGATGTGAATCACGCTAATGGGGGTGGTGGTGATGATGGGGGTGGTGGTGGTGTGAATGGTGGTGGTGGTGATGGTACTAATGAGGCGGTTGGGGCTGGGGCTGGGGCTAGGGTTATGGCTCCTGGAAATGCTGGGGCCGAGGAATGCTAATGGGGCAGGGGTTGGGACAGGGGCTGTGGCTTCTGGAAATGCTGGGGCGGGAAATGCTAATGGGGTAGGGGATGGGGCTGGAGTTGAAGCTGGGGTTGGGGCTGGGGCTGTTGAAAATGCTAATACTAATCAGGGTGAATCCGGGGCGTGCTAATGGGGCAGCGAATCAGGGGAATGCTAATGGGATTGGGGTTCAAGGGAATGTTAATGGGGTTTGAATCAAGAGAATGCTAATGAGGCTGTAGCTCAGGAAAATGCTAATGGAGTTGTAAATTAGGAGAATGCTAATAGGGTTGGGGCTTAGAGGAATGCTAATGGGGCTAGGGGTTAGGGGAATATTAATGGGGCTGTAAATAAAAGGAATGCTAATGCTAATGGGGTTGAAGGGAATGCTAATGGGGCTACTGCTAATGTGATGAATCAGACTACTACTGATGCAAGGAATCATGTGAATGATTTAGAAGCTGTTGAGCTTGTTGAGATTGAGGACGAGGATGGTGAGAACGAGGATTTTGATGTTGCTGCTGTTGAGGTTGAAAATGAGGATGGTGAGAACGAGATTCTTGAGAATGAGGATGTTGGGCCTGGTGAGGTTGCTGGGCTAGGTGGGGGTCGCCTACAGTCTGTGATTGTGGCAATCCACCATGCTGCTCTACCCTAGATGTAATAGATAGATAGAATGTTAACAAATAGAATAACCAGATTATAGTTTACTTTTTTTAGTAGGCTTCGAATTTTGTGCGGAATTGATTAGCACATTTGAGGAAACATAGTGTAGAACCATGGGTGATGATGTTAGAAGATCTGCTTTTACCGCTTGCTTGAAGTTGGAAACTATGTAATCTTTAATGGCACGATTAAGACTTTCCCTTCATTAAGTGATAGCCATGGATGATGTAACATTCGGAAATTTTGTAATAATATGTATGTGATATTGAAAATTTTCCATGTTCAATAATGATACTTAGATTATAAAGCTAAGTATTATTTATCGTAGAATTTGGGTGGACGCGTAGAAATCTTTGTTGGACTATAAATTTGTGAGGCGTGGATTCGGGAAAGTAATTTTTCCGAGTTTGACGTGTTTAAAATTTATAAGCGTTGGTGTGTACGTTAATAGTAGAGCTATGTTAATTAATTTACCAGTCGCCTTAGATATTGATGGTAATATTATTAGTTAAACTCCAGTTATTTAGTGTTAATAATTTATTTTGTGCTAATGGGTGACAAAGGAAGATGACTTTCTGTTTTTAATATAAAATCTCACTAAACTTTCTCTTAAGACATCAAGACTCACGTAGCAATTGAGGGATTAGTGCATGGCTACATGTCACATTTAAAGACTAAAAGCATGGCCACATGCCACCTTGGAGAATTCAAGCATGCGACATGCCCTTCTTAAGCTAAGCTTCTTACACTAACAAGACACATAGCTATAAGCCATCATTACCTTGGCCATTAGTCATCTCTAACAAGTCTTAATTTCTTACACTTGGCCGTAGATTGAGAGAGGAAATGCCACTTATGAGTGCATGCAATTATCCACCTAAAATCTACTCCTACGTTTCACTTTTCATCTTGGTAACATGGAAGAGAGTTTTTCATCTTAGCCGTAACTCTCTCTTTTACCTTAAAACTCTCAAAACACTTTACTTTCAACAATACCTGCTGGGCTAGGTGGGAGCCGTCTGCAGTCTGTGGTTGTGGCAATCCACCAGGCTGCTCTACCTAAAGGTAATAGATAGATAGAATGTTAATAAATAGAATAATCAAATTATAATTTACTTTTTTGAGTAAGCTAAGAATTTTGTGCGGGATTGATTAACACATTTGACGAAACATAGGGTAGAGCCATGGGTGATGATGTTAGAAGATCTGCTTTTACCACTTGCTTGAAGTTGGAAACTACGTAATCTTCAATGCCATGATTAAGACTTTCTTTTCATTAAGTGATAGCCATGGGTGATGTAACATTCGGAAATTTCGTAATAATATGTATGTGATATTGGAAATTTTCCGTGTTCAATAATAATACTTAAATTATAAAGTTAAGTATTATTTATCGTAGAATTTGGGTGGATACTTAGAAATCTTTGTTGGATTGTAAATTTGTGAGGCGCGGATTCAGGAAAGTAATCTTATCGAGTTCGACGTGTTTAAAATTTATAAACGTTAGTGTGTACGTTAATAGTAGAGTGGTGTTACTTAATTTACCAGTCGTCTTAGTTATTGATGGTAATATTATTAGTTAAACTCTAATTAATTAGTGTTAATAATTTGTTTTGTGCTAATGGGTGACAAAGGAAGAGGACTTTCTGTTTTTGATATAAAATCTCACTAAACTTCATCTTAAGTCCCCATGACTCACGTGGCAATTGGGGAATTAATGCATGCTCACATGCCACATTTGAAGACTAAAAGTAAGGCGACATGCCACCTTGGAGAATTTAAGCATGTGACATGTCGTTCTTAAGCTAAGCTTCTTACACAAACAAGACACATAGCCATAAGCCATCATTACCTTGGCCATTAGTTATCTCTAACAAATCTTAATTTCTTACACTTGGCCGTAGATTGAGAGAGGAAATGCCACCTATGAATGCATGCAATTATCCACCTAAAATCTACTCCTACGTTTCACTTTTCATCTTGGTAACATGGAAGAGAGTTTTTCATCTGTCGTAACTCTCTCTTTCAGCTTAAAACTCCCAAAACACTTTACTTTCAATAATACCTGCTGGGCTAAGTGGGGGCCGCCTGCAGTCTATAGTTGTGGCAATCCACCAGTTTGCTCTACCCTAAAGGTAATAGATAGATAGAATGTTAATAAATAAAATAATCAAATAATAGTTTACTTTATTGAATAGGCTACGAATTTTGCGCGGGATTGATTAACACATTTGAGGAAACATAGTGTAGAGCCATGGGTGATGATGTTAAAAGATCTGCTTTTATCATTTACTTGAAGTTGGAAACTATGTAATCTTCAATGGCACCATTAAGATTTTCGCTTCATTAAGTGCTAGCCATGGGTGATGTAATATTCGCAAATTTCGTAATAATATGTATGTGATATTGGAAATTTTCCGTATTCAATAATGATACTTAGATTATAAAGCTAAGTATTATTTATCGTAGAATTTGGATGGACACATAGAAATCTTTATTGGACCGTAAATTTATGAGGCGCGAATTCGGGAAAGTAATCTTTTCGAGTTCGACGTGTTTAAAATTTATAAACGTTGGTGTGTATGTTAATAGTAGAGCGGTATTAATTAATTTACCAGTTGCCTTAGTTATTGATGGTAATATTATTAGTTAAACTCTAGTTAATTAGTGTTAATAATTTATTTTGTGTTAATGGGTGATAAAGGAAGATGAGTTTCTGTTTTTGATATAAAATCTCACTAAATTTTCTCTCAAGACACCAAGACTCACGTGGCAATTGGGGGATTAATGCATGATCACATGCCACATTTGAATACTAAAAACATGGCCACATGCCAGCCTGGAAAATTCAAGCATGCGACTTGCCCTTCTTAAGCTAAGCTTCTTACACTAACAAGACACATAGCCATAAACCATCATTACCTTGACCATTAGTCATCTCTGACTAGTCTTAATTTCTTACACTTGGCCGTAAATTAGGAGATGAAATGCCACCTATGAGTGCATGCAATTATCCACTTAAAATCTACTCCTACGTTTCACTTTTCATCTTGTTAACATGAAAGAGATTTTTTTATCTTAACCGTAACTCTCTCTTTCACTTTAAAACTCCAAAAACATTTTGCTTTCAACAATACCTGCTGGGCTAGGTGGGGGCCGCCTGCAGTATGTGGTTGTGGCAATCCACTAGGCTGCTCTACTCTAGAGGTAATAGATAGATAGAATGTTAAAAAAATAGAATAATCAAATTATAGTTTACTTTTTTTAGTAGGTTACAAATTTTGTGCGGGATTAATTAACACATTTGAGGAAACATAGTGTAGAGTCATGGGTGATGATGTTAGAAGATATGCTTTTACCACTTGCTTGAAGTTGGAAACTACGTAATCTTCAATGGAATCACTAAGACAACATTCGGAAATTTCGTAATAATATGTATGTAATATTAAAAATTTTCCGTATTCAATAATGATAATTAGATTATAAAGCTAAATATTAAATTTTATAGAATTTGGGTGGACATGTAGATATCTTTGTTGGACCGTAAATTTGTGAGGCGCGGATCCGGGAAAGTAATATTTCCGAGTTCGACGTGTTTCAAATTTATAAACGTTGGTATGTACATTAATAGTAGAGTGGTATTAATTAATTTACCGGTCACCTTAGTTATTAATGGTAATATTATTAGTTAAACTCTAGTTAATTAGTGTTAATAATTTATTTTATGCTAATTGGTGATAAAGAAAGAGTAGTTTTGTTTTTAATATAAAATCTCACTAAACTTCCTCTTAAGACACCAAGACTCAAGTGGCAATTGGGGGATTAATGCATGTCTACATGCCATCTTGGAGAATTCAAACATGCCACATGCCATTCTTAAGCTAAACTTCTTACATTAAAAAGACACATAGTCATAAGCCATCATTACCGGCCATTAGACATATCTAACAAGTCTTAATTTCTTACACTTGGCCGTAGATTGAGAGGGGAAATGCCACCTATGAGGACATGCAATTATTCACGTAAAATCTACTCCTACGATTCACTTTTCATCTTAGTAATAAGGAAGAGAGTTTTTGCATCTTAGCAGTAAATCTCTCTTTCACCTTAAAACTCTCAAAACACTTTACTTTCAACAATACCTACTGGGCTAGGTGGGGGCCGCCTGCAGTTTGTGGTTGTGGCAATCCACCAGGCTGCTCTACCCTAGAGATAATAGATAGATAGAATGTTAATAAATAGAATAATCAAATTATAGTTTACTTTTTTTAGTAGGCTACGAATTTTGTGCGGGATTGATTAACACATTTGAGGAAACATAGTGTAGAGCCATGGGTGATGATGTTAGAAGATTTGCTTTTACCACTTACTTGAAGTTGAAAACTACGTAATCTTCAATGGCACCATTAAGACTTTCCCTTCATTAAGTGATAGACATGGTTGATGAAACATTCGAAAATTTCATAATAATATGTATGTGATATTGGAAATTTTTCGTGTTTAATAATGATACTTAGATTATAAAGCTAAGTATTATTTATCGTAGAATTTGGGTGGACATGTATAAATCTTTGTTGGAGCGTAAATTTGTGAGGCTCGGATTCGGGAAAGTAATCTTTCTGAATTCGACGCGTTTAAAATTTATAAACATTGGTGTATACGTTAATAGTAGAGCGGTGTTAATTAATTTACTAGTCGCCTTAGTTATTGGTGGTAATATTATTAGTTAAACTCTAGTTAATTAATGTTAATAATTTATTTTGTGCTAATGGGTGATAAAGGAAGATGAGTTTCTGTTTTTAATATAAAATCTCACTAAACTTCTTCTTAATACACAACGACTCACGTGGCAATTGGGGGATTAATGGATGGCCACATGGCACATTTGAAAACTAAAAGCATGGCCACATGCCATCTT